TTCCTGGGTACTTTTTTGTCCGGGAGTGATCTTGTAAACTGTTCATCCGATGTAGGTAAAACCTTTACAGGGTCAGTAGACATGTTATGTAGATTTGTGGAATCAAGGTCATTTTGCGCGCACGTGCTTGCAAGAGCGTGCGCGTGCAACACGTGAAATGACCAATATAATAGATATAGTCGTAACTTTTTCATTTTTTGATGAAATGCTTTGAAACTCATAATTTGAATATTTATTAATAGTATAGACATGATAACATGGTCAAAATAGCAAGATCTCATGCGCATGCACGTGCGCTTTGCTCTGATTGGCTGAAACTAAAGTCTCTCTATCTTTCTTGTTTTTCGACGAAATCCTATGAAATTTTGAACATGGCCATGCATTAATATATCCTACAACATGATATATAGCATTTGTCATAAAATCACGTGCATGCACGTGCGCTGCAATCTGATTGGCTTAAACTTTAAATAGCTCTAACTCCCTTGGTTTTCAACCAAACAGGATGGGATTTGGAACATAGATAGATATAATGAACTTCTACAATATGGTATGGTCGCCATGCACATGCATACACGTGCGTGTACTTGCGCTGTAATCTGATTGGCTGAAACTTTAAACAGCTATAACTGCTTTGGTTTTCAACCAAACGGAGTGGGATTTAGAACATAGAGAGATGTAATGGACGTCTACAAGAAGATTGGACACCATGCTCATGTATGCACGTGCGTGCACGTGAAATGTGTTAAATAAAAAATACACTTGATTGAGAGTATTTATAAATACTTTTGGATTAAATACTTTAATACTTAGTATATTAAAATGTATAGATTGTGTAGACAAGATGATATTGTCATCACGCACATGCATTCACATGCGCACGCGTGCAATGCTAAAATTTGAATGAACTTGGCGTTCTTAAAGTCTCAAACGCATACATTCTCTCCTATTCAATGAAGCTTACAGGGAATATGGCACCAACAGGGAGTTGGGGAGCGTTTGGGGAACATCTGTTACGGTCCCCGTTACAATTAGCACTAGTTAAGGTCTTCCGTCTTCAGCGGAAGACCTTACTGTTATTCTTAGGTTTCTTTTCCACTATTTTTATTATTGTTTTTTTTCTTACCGATTTTGTGCACGCGATTTCTCGGAAACGGTTCGATCGATTTTCATGAAACTTTCAGGACTGATGGAACATCAATCAAACCTGATATATAATTTTTTATTTTTATGACGTCACTTCCGGTTTCGAGATTTTCGCAATTTAGTGATTTTCAGAGGGTCACTTTGTCCAGCAGTTTTCTCAAAAGTGCTTTTAGAGATAAACGTAAGATTTTCAGCGATGATAGAGCAAGATGTGCTGATGTGACACACACCTTTCTTATTCTCCGGAAGTGCAGCACGTTGGCGCTCGCTATGGCTCGAAAAAAGACCTATCGGGAATTTAGAAATTTTTCACACATTTTTGGCAAAATCTTTTCACACGTTATTATTTTGTAAAGACATATAGAACAAAAGTTGTGAAGAATGTCACGTTCTTTTGAAAAATATCAACGATGAGGGACTGGCCCCTATAATAAAGGGCCAAAAGGGGCCGAAAGTTTCTCCTTAATATCTCAAAAAGTATTTAGAATTTGTAATACGTCAAAGAAGCCAAGTTGTTCAAAATATCAAGCTTTATCTAATGGCGTCTTCAAAAAACGTCCGGCGACGTCACTTCCGGTCAAACCGGAAGTAGTCAAAAATTGCATATTTTTGCAGTTCTTGACAGGTTTTTGGATATCATATGTCACTGGAAGCTTATATCTTAATTTTTCGTCCGTCGACGTCACTTCCGGTCAAACCGGAAGTTGCCAAAAATGGCTTAATTTCGCAATAATTAACATAGATTTGGAGGATTAAACCATTTTGGGACTTCATTACTCTTTATTTTTTTAAATGAAAGTTACTTCCGGTCAAATAGGACGGAAGACCTACTCGTTGCTTTGCAACGAGCTCGGCTCTAGTTATTATTATTTTTCTTCTTCCTGGGTACTTATTTGTCCGCGAGTGATCTTGTAAACTGTTCGTCCGATGTAGGTAAAACCTTTTTAGGGTCAGTAGACATGTTATGTAGATTTGCGGAATCAAGGTCATTTTGCGGGCACGTGCTTGCAAGAGCGCGCACGTGCAACACGTGAAATGACCAATATAATAGATAGAGCCGCAACTTTTCTTTTTTTTTTGATGAAATGCTTTGAAACTCATAATGTGAGGATATATTAGTAGTATAGACATGACGACATGGTCAAAATTGCAAGATCTCACGCGCATGCACGTGCGCTTCGCTCTGATTGGCTGACACTAAAGTCTCAATATCTTTCTTGTTTTTTGACGAAATCCTTTGAAATTTTAAACATAGCCATGCATTATGATATCCTACAACGTGATATATAGCAATTATCATCAAAACACGTGCATGCACGTGCTCTGCAATCTGATTGGCTTTAACTTTAAATAGCTATAACTCCCTTGATTTTCAACCAAACAGGATGGGATTTGGAACATAGATAGATATACTGGACTACTACAAGAAAATATGGTCACCATGCACATGCATACACGTGCATGTACGTGCACTGCAATCTGATTGGCTGAAACTTTAAACAGCTATAACTCCCTTGGTTTTCAACCAAATGGGGTGGGATTTAGAACATAGATAGATGTAACGGACATCTACAAGACGATATGTTCACCATGCTCATGTATGCACGTGCGTGCACGTGAAATGAACAAAATCAAAAAAACACTTGAATGAGCGTATCTTTTTAATACTTTTGGATTAAATGCTTTAATATTTAGTATATAAAAATATATAGATTGTGTAGACAAGATGATATGGTCATTACGCACATGCATTCACATGTGCACGCAAAATTTGAATGAACTTTGTACACTTCTGAGTAAACGTTATTAAAGTCTCAAATGCATCGAGTTTGTCTTATTTAATGAAGCTTACAGGGAATATGGCACCAAAAGGGAGTTGGGGAGCGTTTGGGGAACATCTGTAACGGTCCCCGTTACAATTAGCACTAGTTATTATTATTATTATTATTATTATTTTTCTTCTTCTTCCTGGGTACTTTTTTGTCCGGGAATGATCTTGTAAACTGTTCGTCCGATGTAGGTAAAACCTTTTTAGGGTCAGTAGACATGTTATGTAGATTTGCGGAATCAAGGTCATTTTGCGCGCACGTGCTTGCAAGAGCGTGCACGTGCAACACGTGAAATGACCAATATAATAGATATAGCTACAACTTTTCTTTTTTTTTGATGAAATGCTTTGAAACTCATAATGTGAGGATATATTAGTAGTATAGACATGACGACATGGTCAAAATTGCAAGATCTCACGCGCATGCACGTGCGCTTCGCTCTGATTGGCTGACACTAAAGTCTCAAAATCTTTCTTGTTTTTCGACGAAATCCTTTGAAATTTTAAACATAGCCATGCATTATGATATCCTACAACGTGATATATAGCAATTATCATCAAAACACGTGCATGCACGTGCTCTGCAATCTGATTGGCTTAAACTTTAAATAGCTATAACTCCCTTGGTTTTCAACCAAACAGGATGGGGTTTGGAACATAGATAGATATAATAGACTCCTACAAGAAGGTATGGTCACCATGCACATGCATACACATGCGTGTACGTGCGCTGCAATCTGATTGGTTGAAACTTTAAACAGCTATAACTCCCTTGGTTTTCAACCAAACGGGGTGGGATTTAGAACAACGATAGATGTAATGGACTTCTATAAGAAGGGATGGTCACATGCCCGTGTATGCACGTGTGTGCACGTGAAATGAGCAAAATCAAAAATACACTTGAATGAGCGCATTTTTTAAAAATATTTTTAGATTAACTACTTTCATATTTAGTATATTTAAATATATAGATCATGTAGCCATTAAGCACATGCATTCAGATGCGCACGCACACAATGCCAAAATTTGAATGAACTTGGTACACTTCTGGGTAAACGTTGTTAAAGTCTCAAAAACAAAGAGTTTGTCTTATTTAATGAAGCTTACAGGGAATATGGCACCAAAAGGGAGTTGGGGAGCGTTTGGGGAACATCTGTAACGGTCCCCGTTACAATTAGCACTAGTTATATTTTGTTTTCGTTTATTACAGAATTAAAGGTCAACATTTTGTTTCCTTTTAAACAGATTGAAGTCTAGCAGTACGATGAGAAATTAATATTTTACGATATGCATAAAATCTGCATGGAATGAAAATCACTTCGTTCAAAGCGTCAATTCATTACATGTATATAAGCGTGAGTAACTTTTGTCAGTTTTTCCGGGAAGAAATATTGTCAATCTTCCGAGAAATCTGACGGCGGAAGCCTCTTTTTGTATCGACAAGGCATCCTTTCTGGGGCCTCAAATCATTGTAAAAAGAGTCATGGTCCAGGTACAATCAACAAATGGTAGTAATGACTGTTACAATAAACAAAAACATACATGCAGAGAAAATTCTATAAAATATGTGAAACGTTTTGGAAAAGACCATCGTCTCAAGCCACGGTCTTGAGTCCGCACAATTATAATAGCTTTCTTCAGAACGGAAGAGGATCGTACATTTTGACATTTTGCGACGATGGGGAAAGACAAAAAAAGCATTTTGAAAATGCAACTTAACATCGGTGAAGAATGCATGTTACATACAATTTCTCTAATTATCTTACATTGGAACCTTTTATATCTAGATGTTTTAAATTCATTTCATCTACATGCAAATTAAAAAGTATAAATTCTTTTATTTGAAAGCATTCGTTTTATCATACTATGCCTGTTTCAGAACAACATGGATTGAAATAGAAAATACACATGTTACGTGTTTTGATATTTGAAACATGTTCATCATAAAATTAATACATCCCACATAAAATTTGTTGCTAAACACTCGTTCATTGTTTAAAAGAAATAAACAAGAAGTAAGCTGACACAAGCGGACACCATTTGGGTGATCGACTTCCTGCTACGAACGAAGGAAACATCTTCCAATTCCAAGCCGGTTATAGCTTTTTTAAAGAAGGAAAGGACTAATATGAATACAATCCATCCGATATGGAGAATGCTTTAGGTAAGTCTTAAAATAAACATTATAATTTTTATCAATTAATCCCGCAATATTAAAGCCTCAGGATATTCACGCATATAATATTTAGTACATATATATATCTTAACAGCACATACATGTTTTTGTATGGAAATATAAAAAACGTGAGGGACATGACCCAAAAGGCGAGCGCAGATACATGTCACCTGAAGTCGTATGTTTCTTGTTTGCTTGATATTTAGCGTCGATCTTCTCGAGAAATATGAAATAAGTATTTAAAAGAAAAAAAAAAAAACACTGATGCTCCCTTAAGGCAATTTACGGATAAGGTTAAAGTTTCTAGAACTCAAAGGTCAATGGCAATAAATCCAACATGACATCACCAAGTGAAAGAACTTGCTTCAATAAATATAGATCTACTTGTAAAATATGAGAACTCAAGCAGCAACCATTTCAAAGTTATGGCCAAGGTTAAATGTTTTAAAGGTGGGTTAAACTGCTACATGTACATGTAGGTCAAGGTTATAATCTCAAAATACTTGTAATGGAACAAAGAGGACCTTGTCGTAAGAAATATATACAGTCGTTTGGCCAGTTCCAGATTTTGGTCAGTTCCGAATAATTAGTAATTTAAAGACTGATAATTAATAAATTCAACGGTGTAAAAATAAATTGATTTCTATGGTAAGAAGGCTTATTTATGAGTGTTTGAATTATGTGAAGTTTTGAATGTTTGCCCTCGGTTTGGTTTCGTTATCGTACTTGAAACAGTCGACATACTTTTACAACGCAACAAATCTGAATCACCGCGACGCGTAAGTCTGCAGAAAAACCTCTGTAGATACATAAATTTTTCACATAAAACCACGTTCCAGGTATCAAAAGTAAGTTTGATGTGTACTCTAACATATATACTAAACACTTGTCAAAAATAAATATTTAGAACACTGTAAGATATTGAAATATTTTCGTGTTCTTATTTTACCAGTTCCGAATACCCATTTTAAACAATATTATAAATTCACTCTTCGTTGTTTTCTTCATTGTAAACGTGACTTATTATACCCCCGCTGGAAAAAAAAGGAAGAAGGGGTAAATATAGTAATTGGATGTTTGTCCATCCATCCGTTTCTACGTCCGTCCGTCTGTCTGTACGTCCGTCCGTCTGATATGCTCTGGGATATCCATTTCTTATCCGCAACCCCTCTTCTACCACTGAATGAAGTTTAATGAGGCTTCACAGAATTTAATGAGTCTTTCACAGAATCTTTGTTTAACAGTGCACCTATTTTATCTTTGGATCAGGCACATAATTCGGGCTCCTTGAGAAAAACATAGACAATGCCATTCTTTGTAATAATGAAAGGTATATCCTTCTCTTATCCGCAATTCCTCCTATACCACTGAATAAGATTTAATGATACATGTACTTTAACGATTCTTTATTATATTGTGACATTGTTACCATTTATTTTACTTTTTGATCTGACACTTATTTCGGGTCTCCCAGAGCAAAACATGGACTTTGTCATAAATAATCATAAAGGACGTGTGGGGTATCATTAAAATGAGCTCAGTGCCCACAGTACCTCTAGTTTCTCTTCAACCTTTGGAAATACAAATAATTTATTGGTAAGCAATTAATTTAACTTTTCTTAGGCATGCCAATGAATAACGTCTGGGACGTATATTTTTTAATTTAGGGTTGAATTGAGGAAGAATCTCTAGCCTATCCGGAACTCGTCGGCTTATTCGTAACTGGTAAAATGGACACCTATGATAACTTGCGAAATGAATTTTTTGGAATGAAGGCTGAACTTTTATGAAACAATATTTAATTCCACAAGTAATCAAACTACCTTGACAAAACACTTAGATTTTGAAATAATGCCTAGTATATTTATAGTATATTTATAAAAACATTAACGTTGCACATATATTTTCATTGGATGGCGCTATGGCTTTTATATTGCAGAAGCATATTCCTTAATTGAGACAAGAATTTGCTCTGGGTACCAACTTTGTATTTGACCTTTTAGTTTGACCAGTTTTAGAAAATCTTTACCTTTACCATAACTTTTGAACAGTTGGCACTAGGGTTTTCATATTTCACATCTACAGTTATTTGGCCAGTTGCGAATAAAAAACCGATTCGGTGGTGCTATAAATATACTAGACATTGTTTCAAAATCTAAGTGTTTTGTCAAAGTAGTTTGATTACTTGTGGAATTAAATATTGTTTCATAAAAGTTCAGCCTTCACTCCAAAAAATTTATTTTGCAAGTTATCATAGGTGTCCATTTTACCAGTTACGAATAAGCCGACGAGTTCCGGATAGGCTAGAGATTCTTCCTCAATTCAACCCTAAATTAAAAAAATACGTCCCAGACGTTATTCATTGGCATGCCTAAGAAAAGTTAAATTAATTGCTTACCAATAAATTATTTGTATTTCCAAAGGTTGAAGAGAAACTAGAGGTACTGTGGGCACTGAGCTCATTTTAATGATACCCCACACGTCCTTTATGATTATTTATGACAAAGTCCATGTTTTGCTCTGGGAGACCCGAAATAAGTGTCAGATCAAAAAGTAAAATAAATGGTAACAATGTCACAATATAATAAAGAATCGTTAAAGTACATGTATCATTAAATCTTATTCAGTGGTATAGGAGGAATTGCGAATAAGAGAAGGATATACCTTTCATTATTACAAAGAATGGCATTGTCTATGTTTTTCTCAAGGAGCCCGAATTATGTGCCTGATCCAAAGATAAAATAGGTGCACTGTTAAACAAAGATTCTGTGAAAGACTCATTAAATTCTGTGAAGCCTCATTAAACTTCATTCAGTGGTAGAAGAGGGGTTGCGGATAAGAAATGGATATCCCAGAGCATATCAGACGGACGGACGGACGTAGAAACGGATGGATGGACAAACATCCAATTACTATATATACCCCGTCTTCCTTTTTTTTCAGCGGGGGTATAATAAGTCACGTTTACAATGAAGAAAACAACGAAGAGTGAATTTATAATATTGTTTAAAATGGGTATTCGGAACTGGTAAAATAAGAACACGAAAATATTTCAATATCTTACAGTGTTCTAAATATTTACTTTTGACAAGTGTTTAGTATATGTTAGAGTACACATCAAACTTACTTTTGATACCTGGAACGTGGTTTTATGTGAAAAATTTATGTATCTACAGAGGTTTTTCTGCAGACTTACGCGTCGCGGTGATTCAGATTTGTTGCGTTGTAAAAGTATGTCGACTGTTTCAAGTACGATAACGAAACCAAACCGAGGGCAAACATTCAAAACTTCACATAATTCAAAAAATCATAAATAAGCCTTCTTACCATAGAAATCAATTTATTTTTACACCGTTGAATTTATTAATTATCAGTCTTTAAATTACTAATTATTCGGAACTGGCCAAAATCCGGAACTGGCCAAACGACTGTATGTGATTTTACAGTACAGAGTTTGCCAAAATTATTCTGCATTAAGTTATAAGCACTTGTTCTGTTGCCATAGAACTAGTAGCCAAGGATAAAAATCAAATTCAACAACAGATCATGGAAGATCCTATTATGTTTTCTATATTTTTTTTTTATTTGCATTGTATAATTTCTGAAATGAATAGCACAATTTTCCATTTGAACTGCATACTTTACATCTGTGTTGTAAAATTATACAAATTAGAAGGAATTATTAAGAAAACACTCGGAAAATTTAAGAATACGAGGGGTGATCAAAAAAAATTCGCGAACTATTTCTATATCCATAAAGTCACAAATCAGATTAGAAAAAAAATTGTACACGCATAACCATACATAAGTTCTATAAATAGTATATAGTGAATAAAGTTTTACTCCTTGTTTGTGACGTCACAATGTGAAAATGATGACACTATGTAGACCACTTTTGAAAAAAAAAATGGTTGTCTCCGTCGTACTAGTTCAACGAACGACTGAAAAATTTATGGTATATTTTGGAAATTCCTTTGCAGATGCGTATAATAATTTCTACACAGTTTATTAAGACAAACGACTTCCTATAAATTCAGTCAATAATTGGATTGATCGTTTAACTGAAGGAAGGCAGATGGTTAAAAATTATATTTGTTATGTTGCCAAGTGAAAGCAAGTTTAAAAAGAGATGTGTTTTTAATTAGGCAATTTGTCATCAAAGACGTCCAATTTACAGTTTGAAAAATAGTCGAATATCTTAATTAACAATAATATAATTATCAAAATACCTAAGATATCATTTACTTTAGATTTCGTACATATTAGATATGATAAAAATTGAGGCACACATTCTATATCCACCTTGAATAAACGTATCTCCCTATACAGAAGATTTGGGTTTAGATGGTCGGCATGCTCATTTTTGGAAAGAATATTTTTATCCACTCATTCTGTTGCCGAAATTTGACCATTTCTGACAATTAATAAAAAATTAACTTGCATGGAAAGAAATATAAAACTCAGAAAAATCTTTCAGCTTTCGTAACAGGACGCTACGGAGGGGGTCACGTGATCACATATATCACGTGATTCGCGCATGAGCAGAACTGTAGCAGTTGTGCATTAAAATAGGAGAGAAATAATTTGAAATATAATCAACAACGAAACTAAATATAGTTTCTTTTATGGCAGTTATTCGATTAGTTCGCGAACTGTTTGATCACCCCTCGTACATATGCAAGTTACCTGAATGCAAGTAAATACAGATGAAAAATTATAGAATTCAATACGATTGAAATACTGCTACGGTACAAATTCTTAACTTACGAAGCGTTTTAGGATACGTATGGAAAATTTAAGAAATGCAAACAAAAAAAAAATGAAAAAAATGTAAATGAAAATACGCTTAGTATTCAAAACTATAAAATACAAATGGAAAATAAAGAAAAATACAATACCAATACAATTTAATGTATATGATACAAACAGCAAATTATAGAATACAAGTAAGTATAACATTTTCTCTTGCTTTTTAATTTGTTTTAAAAATAAAGTATACTAGTCAACTATTTTCTTGTTCTAGAAGTATAAATATTTTTTTGTTCTTTGTTGCAGTTAACCTTCTTATTTGTGGATGCCTTCTTTTTACAAAGGCGTCTCACTTTTATAATTGCTCGGGTAAGAATTGATATATATATTTTTAAAATGAAAAAAAAATCTCATGAAGCTTTTTATTACTGACAAAATTATTAAACTGCTTAAAAATCAATTTAAATGTATCGTGGCAGGTTGTCAACCGAAACGGAACGGAACCAGGAACGGAAATGTCAATCGTTACAAATGTGATGCATGTGACAGGATATTTGACCACAGTGTTAACGAAAAAGGTACAGTTTCAATACAAAACATCTAAGATAAGCTTTATTTGAATTCAATACTAAAAGTATTAGTATACGAAATGCAAGGTCGATGCTTTTCTATGGTTTTAAATTTGGTTAAATTTTGTGATTTCAATTTTCTAAAAGTTTTGGAACTTTTTAGTATCCACATCTGATTTGCACTACTTCTATATATTATTGCACATTACTCCTGCTGTTTCTCCTTCACTACTGCTATATCTAAGTTAAGAATAAGAAATAAGATTTGTAAAACATTTATTGGAATCTGCTATGTATAATTGATTATACGGAGTTCTATGACGTTTAGAAATCCAATGGCAGTAGTAAAGGAAATCTGTATTAAGCATGGTTTAAATTACAATAAAATATTTTTTTTATAACTTTTGCCAGATTTAAGTAATTGTGTGGACTGTATGATAAATTGTTCTTTGAGTACAACTATATGTATTAGTAATGAAACTCAGACACCAGTGACTGTACCTATCATACCAAGTACAAATAATATAGCTATGTATCAGAATAATGATTTTTTTTAAAATCATCAGTGCTTTTTTAAAAGTCTTTTAAGTTATTTAATATTTTGTTGCCAGCGCCAATTTGATATTTCTAAAATTTGAAAAACAGTTAATCTCTAAATAAAATTGAATATTTTCATACAAGTTGCTCAAAGAAATTTCAAGAATGTTGATGCTTTGTAGCAACCGCCGATGATAAAACGCCGCTTTATGATAGAAATATCATTTAGCGTTGTAGTCCGCAATATTATCTGACGTTTTCCAGGCTTTTTTTTTTACGCCAGAACCGGCGCCATTACTAACTGGAAATTTCGAGTTGATTTCCGAGATTTTTTTTTACGTCGGAACCGGCGCCATTACTAACTGGAAATTTCGAGTTGATTTCTGAAATCATAATTTGTCAAAAGCACAATGCTTATAGTACTGACACCAAAATCGATGAAAAGAAAATATCACTCACATGACTTGCAAGTTTTTAAAATGTACGAAATAAAGAAAAATCTCGACAGTCTGATAAAATGTTTTCATCGGATTGTATATCTAATACTGTAACTGAACCTTAAAAACGATATAATATGTAAGTACTAATAGTATTGTAATGTTGATAACTTGTTAGTTTGCCATTTAATTTGGTTCGCAATTATTGAAAATCTACCCCAGAATGCCGAATGCAGCGAATTCCCAGTTTTCGAAATGGCGCTGGTTCTGACGTTTTCCTGGCACGTAAATACCAAAAACAGTAAAAAAAAGCCTGGAAAACGTAAGATATTTCGGACTTTACAGGACGTAGCAACAAGGAGGGGGGGGGGGGGGGCAGGGGGGCCATGTAAAATGTACATGTAGTATTGTTTACTAAAAAATGGGAAGTGAAAGGAAGTTGGCTACTACTATTTTGTCCGTCGTCCGTCCGTCTGTCTGTCCGTCTGTAAACTTTTCACATTTTCGACTTCTTCTCAATTTCTGGGCCAATTTTGACCAAACTTGTTCAAAGCATCCTTGGGTAAAGGGAAATTTAAATTGTTAAAATGAAGGGCCAAGTCCCCTCACAAGGGGAGATAATCAACAAAAGACAAAAATAGGGTGGGGTCATTAAAAAAATCTTTTTCTCAAGAACCACTGGGCCAAAAGAGCTGAAACTTATGTGGAAGCATCCTGGGGTAGTGTAGATTTTAAATTGTTCAAATCATGACCCCCGGAGATAGGACGGGGCCACAATGGGGAATCAAAGTTTTACATAGAAATATATAGGAAAAATCTTTGAAAATCTTTTTCTCAAGAACCACTGGGCTAGAAAAGCTGAAACTTGTATGGAAGCATCCTGGGGTAGTGTAGATTCTATATTCTTCAAATCATGACCCCCGGGGGTAGGGCGGGGCCACAACGGGGAATCAAAGTTTTACATAGAAATATAAAGGAAAAATCTTTGAAAATCTTCTTCTCAAGAACCACTGGGCCAGAAAAGCTGAAACTTACGTGGAAGCATCTTGGGATAGTATAGATTATAAATTGTTCAAATCATGACCCCCGGGGGTAGGGCGGGGGCACAATGGGGAATCAAAGTTTTACATAGAAATATATAGGAAAATCTTTAAAAATCTTCTTCTGAAGAACCACTGGGCCAGAAAAGCTGAAACTTATGTGCACATGGAAGCATCCCGGGGTAGTGTAGATTTCAAAATGTCTAAATTATGATCAGTGGGCTAGGGTGAGGTCGCAATATGTATTAAGGACAGATGATACAAACAAATTTATCTTTGGAGGAGACTTAATATCATGTCACAAGTTTAGAAAAGTGGAGAATTCTTAGAATTTTTTCTCCTGAGAATTGGAAAATGAAAAAGACTTGGAAAATATTAGTAATATTTCAATAAAATTATAAAAAGAGATAAAACACACTCAGTAAAGGTTTACAGATAAAAATAAATTTCAGAATATATTAACTTGGTGTTAAAAGTGTAATATAAACTTTAGAAAAATATACCAAGCCAGGTGAATTTTATGAGGAAAAGCAAAATGGTAAAAATCAGCCCATATAATATAGGGTGATTTATACCATTTTGCTTTTCCTAATAAAATTCACCTGGCTCGGTATATATTTCTAAAGTTTATTTTACATCTTTAACACCAAGCTAACATATTGTGAAATTTGTTTTCACCTGTAAACCTTTACTGAATGTGATTTGTCAATAATTGTTTTTTTTATTGAAATATTAGTAATATTTTACAAGTCTATTTCATTTTCCAGTTCTAAGGAAGAAAAATTTTTAAGAATTATCCACTTTTCTACACTTGTGACATGATATTAAGTCTCCTCCAAAAATAAAATTTGTTTTTATCATCTGTCCTTAAAAGGGGGAAATCTGGTAAAGAACAGAATGGTCAAAGCTTCTCAGGTGAGCGATGTGGCCCATGGGCATCTTGTTTTTAATTAATATTAACCTTTCAAATGTTTCTATAAATTGTAACTTTATATTATCATTTAAACCAAACACCAGCGTATAAAGTCGTAGAGAAACAGAACATTGAAGGTATGCATTTCCAATGAACAAGCTTAACGTTTTTTCCCTTAAAACTTTTTACAGAATTAAAAGAAATATTTGTTTATTAATTTAAATACAACTTAAGATTGTAAATTTAAGATTGCTCGTCCGGAAATATAGCTGCATCTGTAGTTGGGGGTGCTTTGTTTGGATCACTTGTCACAGTCCTTATCTTCATGCTTCACCGCTATAGGCAGAAAAAGAGTATCAGGTTTAAATATTGAATGTTTTACATAAATCAAGCATGTTTTATGTGAACATGTAAACTCTGATCTAAAACATCAATAAAAATGTCTAGAAAATAACAGCATAGCATTATGAAGATATTTTTGTTAAAAAAGAATTGAGCAGTTTTAAAAAAAAATATGTAAGGAGAGTAGTTACTTGTTATATTTTTGTGATTGTAACTTTAAACGGTGTTATCTATATGTACAAATTAATTCAAATATTTATTTTTTTTCTTCAGAAATCCTGTACAAAATCCGTCATATCAGACAGAAATGATGCGTATAAACGAAAGAGGTCTAGAGGAAGATATCGGAAAGAGCATGTACAGTGAAATAAATGACGTAAGAGTAGACAAAGGAATTCATCTACACACATACATGTACATTCACATAACCCTCCTAACAGTGTAAATATTCTCTAAATAATGATTATATTAATGTAAAATTTTGACTGTGATTGTTAAAACCCTAGTGGACTTTAGTGAGGAGTCATTGGGAACTAATACATCTTTGCAAAATACAAAGATACATTAAGTCATGTTCAATTACCTTGTCAACGAAAAAAAAACGAGTGATTATAGGCCTATATCAAATGCTCAAAGTCACATAATTTCTATGAGATTATCATATATGTATTAAGTATTCAGATGCATTACTTAAGTGTTATGCATGTTTAGTTCACATAAAAATTAAACCTCTTCAATATAAAATCAGTAAAAAAAACCCCACACAAGTCGTATTCTTTATCTTTTCACATTGGTATCTTTTACAGGAAAGGTCTAACAAAGAATCTCGGGTACCCCCTATTTGGAAGAATGGAAATATTCATGAGAATAAAGATGGTGTATACAACACGTTGAATGAAGCAAACATTATGGACAGAAGTGAGTACTACGATCACACCAGACCAGGAGCCTCGTTTTCAACACCGGCTGATGGATACGGGACTGTGACTTTGGAATACGATCAAGCCAGAATAGATGCCTCAGTATCGAAACCATCTGACGGATACGGGACTGTGACTTTGGAGAACGGTGGAAACGATACACATCCAAAGGATAAGTCTGTGGTTGAAAAGGATATAATATCTAGTCAAGAAGACAAAACAGATGAATACTTTGTGCTCGAAAAAATACAGTGAAGAAGCGTTATGAATTACTGATTTAACTTTACATCAGCTTATAATGTATGTAGTGCATTGATATGATAAAAATTGTTTAACCTACGGGTATTATGTTGTCAATGAATGTACGTGTAGTTTAAGTGAAATTGAATTTGGTGCTGTTTGAAAGATAATATAATTATACACTCACAATCAAAGAAGAAACACAACAACCTGATTTAGGGTGAAAATTATATACGGGACATAACTATGTACCAAAAAAGTAAGGACATCTTTTACTTTGCCAAATCAGTTATTTAACGGTTGAATGATTTTCATTCCAATACCGGAAGTTGATTTTTAGCCCTCTTAACAGAAATCAAAATTTGCATTTTTGATAAAATTTTTGACAATATTTTTGGTTTTCAAGATTTTGTCTCTGTTTATCATAAATATTGTATTAAAATCCCGGGGAAAATTCTTTTTTTTCGGATGTAATACTTATGTTTCCTAAAAATGACTGATAGCAAGCATTGTCATTGCTAATGTTGAAAATTTTCAACAAAAAGAAAAAGGAGAGCTGCAGATGCAAGTATACACTTCACTCATCAGGTTCATGTGTTTCAAAAGCATGAACAACAGTTCTTTGACCGAAAGTCCAAGGGTTACTGCACTACGCCAAGTTAGAGAAAAATTCGACCTCAGTATCTGAAAAACAGGCATTTAAAAATGACCAAGAATATTTATTTCGCTCAGATAAAGACATTAATACACCTTATGCATTGTAGAAATCAGGCTGCATATGTTTTACATGGCAAACTAGCACATTTTAATTGAATATTCGGAAGGGGATGTTTAAAGAGTTATGTGTTACTTTCTAAAGTCTAAAAATAACATGTTACGTTTAAATGGAACATTATTTTTTACTTTTCACCTTACTGTATTCATTTTTAATGTTATTATTAAACCTTAAATAGATTGTTAGTATATTTTTCATTTAAATTTGCATCAAGAGTCACTCAGTTACTAAATGAAAGAACCATGTGGTTTACACAATATACATATCATTGATTACTTCATAATACTGCTATTTGGACTTGTACTACATGCACGACAGAATTATAAATTGGTCTTATTTAATATATATGGAGCAATCAACTCGATAAATGATACCCCGCCTCCCATATGCCATTAGATAGTGGCGATGTTTTACAATGGGAGACCCAAAATATGTGTCAGATAAAAAGTATAATAGAAGATGCACAGTAGCAATACAGGTATGTAAAAAAGAATCTGAGAAAGCATCATTAAATTTTTTCAGTGTAATTGAAGTAGTCCTTTTAAGGATACCCTTATATCGGGTATTAAACGCGTTTCACGGATAAACGATGGGTACACACTTCAATATTATAGAAAGAAATGACCACGTCCATGTAATGATCTGGGAAACCCAAAAGATGCGTCTGATTTTAAAGAATTTAGAGAATTTTAGTGTTCAATATGTTGGCACTTTTTGAGACGCCAAGTTTGTGGTAAGTTAACGAGTATGCCTCGAAATATTCCGTATACGAATGTACAATATCTATTAAAGCTCGTGTACTTGAACAGCCAGTTCGTCTTAGTATTCTCTAACATGAGTCCAATAACCTTGCAACAAAAGTTAAAATAAAAAAGGATACTTAATTCGTTTTATGACTTAAATTTTTAATATACAATACATTAGTGGCGTCATATGGAATTAGATCACATAAAAAATATTAAGAAGGACGGGACTTTTTTATAAGTATATATTACAAGAGATAAATATAAAAAATATTACACATGGAATCATTATTACAGATTTCACTCGCGTCTGCAAATTGCAAATCAACCAAATCTACTCTCGTATAAATTTCAGTAACGTTATGTTTTAGAAAAATTGTAGTCAGAAGTACATTTGTGGCTGGATGAAGGATATGGAGATTTCGAATGGTATTGAATATAAAAGTCCATAAAACAATACAAAATAGGAGCAGAGCAAACAAGGACCTCCAAAACATCACAGGGGGATCAGGTGCCATGGAGTAATAAGCAAGTAGTAAGCTTGCTAACCCGTCTCACCCACCGTATCCTCCTTGTGATGATGGGGAAATAACGGACAAATCCATCGTCAATTCAGAGTATAAATAATCGACTAACAACAATTAGTATGAAAGACGTCAGTCAGAATTTGGCTCAATGATAAATTGTATTGCTGACAAGGTCATAATATCGACCAAAGAACTCGCGAAATGATGACTTTAAACGAGACTGCTGATATTCTTGTTTCATCAACTTGCTTGTCAATAGTTTACCTCGTTTTAGAAATTGTTCATACATAGAGCATGCTCTTGCGTATCGAATCAACCGATATATATATATAAACTCCATATGCAGGTGATGAATATATATTGCTGCATAACTAAGGGAAGTTGACGATAGAAAAGTGAAAGTCATCTCGTTTATTATAAAGCTTGGTTGTTTGATTACCATGAACGTCTTTTTTCAAGTAAAATATTCAAGTATAAAACAGATGTGTCAGACTCTGTGGTATTTTTTTCATGTCAGGCTCACCAGGATATATCGTATCGACATAGGAATAGAAATAGCCATTATTAATTGACAATACGTCGTTGATACATGTATATCTAAATGTCGAGTTAAAGGCCATAGCAAATGTTTTCTATTCACGCATAAGACTTTGCAAAAATTCTGCTTCATATGAATACAAAAATAGGTCTGCTAAGGACGAAGCGCAATTGGTACCATATTCTATTTTATTTAATCGTTTTCGTTGAATTTTTTTCACACTAAAGTACTTCAAGAACACACATTTAAATTACGAGTAATTTATATTCATATTATAGGAAATGAAAACGTTTTATAAAATTTTATTTCACATTTTGTTGGCACTCTTTAATCCATTCAGGAAAATTCAAGAAATCTAAATTAAGGGAAAATCCACATAACCATAAAAGTATTAGATGATTCGAAAGAATCATAGAACACCTATTTAAACCATCAAAATACAACTATTATACAATCAAAAATTGAATGAAGAAAAAGGAAAGAGAGCGCTTCAAATTATTTCTGGATTTATTTAATACGTCCTATATTTTAGCCGCAGAACTGTAGCTCTTCCAAAAAAAAAATATATTGACAGACAAGAAAGCTGCGGTGCCATATTTATTACGCATATAAAATCCATAAAACAATACAAAATAGGAGCAGAGCAAACAAGGACCTCCAAAACATCACAGGGGGTCAGGTGCCATGAAGGAGTAAGCATCCCTTGCTAACCCGTCTCACCCACCGTGTCCTCCTTGTCATGATGGGGAAATAACGGACAAATCCATCGTCAATTCAGGGTATAAATACATGTAATTGACTAACAACAATTAGTATGAAAACGTCAGTCAGAATTTGACTCAATGATAAATTGTATTGCTGACAAGGTCATAATATCGACCAAAGAACTCGCGAAATGATGACTTTAAACGAGACTGCTGATATTCTTGTTTCATCAACTTGCTTGTCAATAATTTACCTCGTTTTAGAAATTGTTCATACATAGAGCATGCTCTTGCGTATCGAATCAACCAATATATATAAACTCCATATGCAGGTGATGAATGTATATTGCTGCATAACTAAGGGAAGTTGACGATAGAAAAGTGAAAGTCATCTCGTTTATCATAAAGCTTGGTTGTTAGATTACCATGAGCATCTTTTTTAAGTAAAATATTCAAGTATAAAACAGAGTTGTCAGACTCTGTGGTATTTTTTTTTTAATGTCAAGCTCACCAGGATATATCGTATCGACATAGGAATAGAAATAACCATTATTTATTGATAATACGTCGTTGATACATGTATATCTAATTGTCGAGTTAAAGGCCATAGCAAATGTTTTTTTTCACGCATAAGACTTTGCAAAAATTCTGCTTCATATGAATACAAAAATAGGTCTGCTAAGGACGAAGCGCAATTGGTACCATATTCTATTTTATTTAATCGTTTTCGTTGAATTTTTTTTTCACACTCAAGTACTTCAAGAACACTTATTTAAATTATGAGTAATTTATATTCATATTATAGGAAATGAAAACGTTTTATAAAATTTTATTTCACATTTTGTTGGCACTCTTTAATCCATTCAGGAAAATTCAAGAAATCTAAATTAAGGGAAAATCCACATAACCATAAAAGTATTAGATGATTCGAAAGAATCATAGAACACCTATTTAAACCATCAAAATACAACTATTATACAATCAAAAATTGAATGAAGAAAAAGGAAAGAGAGCGCTTCAAAATATTTCTGGATTTATTTAATACGTCCTATATTTTAGCCGCAGAACTGTAGCTCTTCCAAAAAAAAATATATTGACAGACAAGAAAGCTGCGGTGCCATATTTATTACGCATATAAAATCCATAAAACAATACAAAATAGGAGCAGAGCAAACAAGGACCTCCAAAACGTCACAGGTGGATCAGGTGCCATGGAGGAGTAAGCATCCCTTGCTAACCCGTCTCACCCACCGTATCCACCTTGTCATGATGGGGAAATAACGGACAAATCCATCGTCAATTCAGGGTATAAATACATGTAATTGACTAACAACAATTAGTATGAAAAACGTCAGTCAGAATTTGACTCAATAATAAATTGTATTGCTGACAAGGTCATAATATCGACCAAAGAACTCGCGAAATGATGACTTTAAACGAGACTGCTGATATTCTTGTTTCATCAACTTGCTTGTCAATAATTTACCTCGTTTTAAAAATTGTTCATACGTAGAGCATGCTCTTGCGTATCGATTCAACCAATATATATTAACTCCATATGCAGGTGATGAATGTATATTGCTGCATAACTAAGGGAAGTTGACGATAGAAAAGTGAAAGTCATCTCGTTTATCATAAAGCTTGGTTGTTAGATTACCATGAACATCTTTTTTTCAAGTAAAATATTCAAGTATAAAACAGAGTTGTCAGACTCTGTGGTATTTTTTTTTAATGTCAAGCTCACCAGGATATATCGTATCGACATAGGAATAGAAATAACCATTATTAATTGATAATACGTCGTTGATACATGTATATCTAAATGTCGAGTTAAAGGCCATAGTAAATGTTTTCTATTCACGCATAAGACTTTGCAAAACTTCTGCTTCATATGAATACAAAAATAGGTCTGCTAAGGACGAAGATCAATTGGTACCATATTCTATTCTTTAACCGTTTTCGTTGAATTTTTTTCACACTAAAGTACTTCAAGAACACAAATTTAAATTATGAGTAATTTATATTCATATTATAGGAAATGAAAACGTTTTATAAAATTTTATTTCACATTTTGTTGGCACTCTTTAATCCATTCAGGAAAATTCAAGAAATCTAAATTAAGGGAAAATCCACATAATCATAAAAGTATTAGATGATTCTAAAGAATCATAGAACACCTATTTAAACCATCAAATTACAACTATTATACAATCAAAAATTGAATGAAGAAAAAGAAAAGAGAGCGCTTCAAAATATTTCTGGATTAATTTAATACGTCCTATATTTTAGCCGCAGAACTGTAGCTCTTCCGAAAAAAATATATTGACAGACATAAGAGCTGCAGTACCATATTTATTACGCATAAAAAGTTGCGCTTAGTTCTGGATTTATATATTTAATTCTTCCAAATTCCTACCTCAATGGCAAAAAAGATGAATGTCAAAAAAATCGTTACTCCTCTATCAAGTGCACTCGTTGTTGACATCTGCACGAAGCGTGTTTAACCGTATCATTTTTCAAAACAAATAATTATGGAAGTATATAAATGGTCGAAATTTTCGATGATCTCAATTTTAGAGACAGGAGGGCTATTAACAGCAATTATGAGGGATATTGTGCTGCAGAAACAGTGAAAGAATATATTTGCAAGGAACACACGGTTAGTAATATTTTGAGATGACAGTTTAAAACGTAGAAAAATAAATCGGAAAATAGCGTACTTTTTTGTGCGGAATAGGTACATGCTGTATACCTTTTTTCAATGGGTGGCACTGCTCTCCCGTCGGGTCTGTCAGTATTTTTTTCGTAGAGCTTCAGTTCCGCGCATCTTCCCATTTATACTTCCCTCAAACCCAAAGCATACAGGGAAAATACAGACACAAAAATGTACAGGTATACAATATGCATAATTATAAAGAATCGTTTTCTTCCTGCTTTTTTATTACGCTGTTGCATGTGACATACCGGTAATACAGTCCTGTATGCCGAGGTATATCTGTTTTCTACAAGGAAATAACAGTAAACACTCACACACTTAACATGGAGAAAATCTGTGGTAAGTTTTTAAAGCTGCTGTTTACTTGATATTTTTTCATGTTTTTAATAAAATGAAGAACTACCCCCTCCAAATACGTGAAATTGGATGACTTTTTATTTCAACATATAAATTGTGAACAAGGCGTTTGAGAGCGTTGCTTTAATGTCTAGTGTATCTTAAAATCACGGAGATTCAGCTTAATGGATGATCATACATATTTCAAAAATGAAATGATTTGACAATGACCTTGTAAGCAAATACAGTTTAATATAAAGTCGTTTAAGACCCGCTTAAAAATGAGGGGTTATACAGTGATGGAAAAGTGCGTCTGTCTGTACTTCTCCGTCAATCTGTTACACCTTTGAGTAACCTTCTCTTATCCACAACTCCTCTTAAACCATTCAATGAAATTTAATGATACTTTCAAAGAATATTTATTTTACATATTGTCACATATTTCGGGTTTCCCATAACAAAACATTGACACTGTCATTCTTTCTTTAATTTTGGAAGGGTACTTAATTTCTTATCCGCGACTTTTCTTATACCACTGAATAAAATTTAATGATACTTTCACAGATTCTTTAAGTCATAATGCCATTGTGACTCCTGTTTTACTTTTTGTTCTGACATTTAGCAGTTGATCATTTGATTAAAAACTACATGATTTATTTTTTATTCTCATGGAAAAAAAGTTGACATTGTCACATTTTTTGTTTGACTAAATACAATAATAATATTAAGAAGTCCTCTCAAAACGTATGTATATTACTGATTCATTGATTGTATGTTTTACGTCATATCCAAAGATTTTTCAATCATATAGAGACTTCTTTATAAACCGGTGAAGGACTTCGACTTTTAAATTACATGTACACACGACACTTAGGGTCATTGAGCAATAGCGGACAAATTTTACTATTATGACATCTACCTTGGCACCAGCTAGGTCTCAGCATCTATCATCTCATTTAAAATACTCGTGACTTTTATTGCCGGGCGATTTCCATGAATCGTCAAAAAAGTCCCCACCTCTTTATACCACCGCTTGAAAAGTGGGAATATATTTATATAGTGATTGTTTTTATAGTGACTGGGATGTCCGTTCATCCGTCGGTTACACTTTCGGGTACACGTCTCTTATCCGCACCCCGTCTTATACCTCTGAATGAAATTAAATGGGCCTTTCACAGAAAATTTGTTACATAATGTCACTGATTGATCCGACACATTTTTTGGTTTTTCCACAGTAAAACATGGATACTGTCATTTTTTTCTATAATATTTAAGGTTACCCATCTCTGATTTGCAACTCTTCCCACACCACTCAATAAAATGTTATGTTGCCATTCTTTATTTCATAATGCCATTTTTGCACCTCTTATTTTACTTTTTGATTTGATTTGATTTGCCATAAAATTATTTGGGAGGCGGGATATCATTCAGTGAGCTCTATGTTCACAGTCGCTCTAATTAGTTTAAACGAATATCAGGCTAGGACTTACCGTATAAGCATTTATTTATCATGGTTGTGTGATAATATTTTTAGGTTGTTAAACAAAACGAGTAGAGAAGAAAAAAATAATTTTGTACTTTTGAATACCTTAAAATTACATATTTTCTCAAACACAGTTAATGATGCATTTTACAAAAGCGATGCAGAGCAGCAGATCTAAGTATGCCATATAACACGCCCTTTCACTTGTTTGAAATGGAGATAAAGTCTGTGTATAGGAAATTGCTTAGATAAGATAAGATAATCTTTATTTAAAGTCGGGTACATAAAAAAATAGAACATTAGCTCTGGAGTGCTATTTTCCGACTACTCATCACTGCTTACACAAATCCTTTATCCTTGTACATTATCAACGTTAGAGGTTTTAGTGGTTTTCTTTTGATTTTTGACACTTTAATATACTTTTCTTCTTAATAATTTTTTTTTCGTTGTTGTTGCAGTGCTCATTATTGTGTTTGGATGCTTCCTTTTGACAGAGATAATAGCTGAGCCATGTTATAGTAAGAATACCAAAGAATAATGCAACAATGAATTCTTACATGTGTAACCTGTCTAAATTTGTGTAGATCTGTTTCTTTATTTTGGGTCAATACAATTTTACGTGTGTTCTAGATTTAGTTCAAATCGTGATCAATTTCATGTACAAATCTAATAAAGAGAAAAAAAATAGCTAAAAGTGATCAAACTTTGTAAAACATACACAAATACATGTATAAAAATTTATTCAGATATATTGCACGATTTCTTAGATCGATCACTTTTCTTTACTTTTGAAAAGCAAAAATAAAGAGATGTTCGTATTAAGATTTGCAATTTAAAGGTGATATTTCTAGAATTACAAAACAGATTTAAACATAAAATGTCAGTTAAATAATTACTGATAAAAGTTTGTTTAATGATATTAATGATTATAATTATATCCCGTAATACGCAAAATTAACTCTTCCGTTAATGGCGTTTTTTAAAATAAAAGTTATGGAGAAATGAATTATTGTATGTTAATGTCGAAGTACGTGTATTGCTATTATAATTTCTGAAATGAACTGTGTAATCTTTACTCCTAAATTAAGCTATATTGTACAAGGAGTAAAATCCTTTTTCTGATTTTCAACCTAATCCCATCATTGTTGTTGATTAAAAAACAATGCTTGGTGGACTAAAAAAAGGCGGAAACCAGAGTTAGTGCCTATGGATATTTCACTGTAACATAAATATTGACGACTAGCAAATCATAAAATTTTCATATAAAGTTCATTGCTGACAGTCCTAGGAATTAAGGAAGTTTGTCCGAAATCGAGAGTAAAGCATAGCCTTTTTTGACAGAAATGTAAAACTAGAATAGATGGAAATTAGAATTTTCCGGAACACATATAAAAAAGTAAATTTATTTTTAACCATATATAGTTCCTTTATTCAAAGAAGATACTCGCATGTAGTTGCAAAAAAAAAACAAAAAAATTTGAGAAGCACAGACTTTTACAATTGACGGTTTACTTGGACATTTAAACCTGTATCATGTATGGAGGTACATTATTGCTAATAGATAAATATAGATCTATAAGAAAACCTTTCTAGTGGTCATAGTAGGATGTTAGGAGCACTAAAATGTGATGACCTGGAGTTGAGGTAGGGTAACCTCAGCGAGATGTCGTAGGGAGTAAAATATTTGGTCGAACGTCCACTACGACATCCCAGTCCACTTCCACACAACGTGATTAGGGATTTTTTGCTCATATTTCGACCGCTTGTTTCAATCAATATCCAGAGTCCATTTAAACATCTCTTCTTCGGATGATTGTAACATTAGCTCAGTTGTATCTGCACGAACTTTTTTTTTAAAAATCCGTTTTATCCGATAATCCTATACGAATGGAAGGGGTGTAGTATCAAAATCCTTTGGAACCATTTTACTTTTTAGTACTAAATGTAATCATAAACGACTACAGTGTAGCATATGTATAATTGTACTTCAACCTAAAATTTGTTAGGGTGGGGCAACCCCCCCCATCCACTGGACGCTAAAAGTTTGTTTGTGCATTAATTTTAATCTTCCTTTCACATGACAATGAGTATTTTTGAAGTTGTAATATTGCACACACTTTCCTTCCTTTTGCACATTTGTTGGTACGGTTAAGTCTTAGCCATGGGATTCCTAGCATTTTTTCTTTCGAAGTGACTCTTTTTATTTGTAGTTTTACTACAAAGATGTTCATGTTCAGCACCACTTTGTTGTTCAAATGGAAAGATAACTACATGTAATAGTGATGTAACTCAGAACGTAGTGACTAGGTGCACCAGTACAAATAGTTCAAGACGAGGTATGCACATTAACTTATAATGCAGACAATAAATTGTATATTAGGGATTAGAAGATGAATTAATATAAAATAATATAAAATAATATAATTACATCAAGATAAAAATTGTATGTTTTGAAATTGGAACTTGAAAACTATATTCGCTTCTTTTTAATTCAGTTCAGGGAGGAAAAGATGTTAATACTTTAATTATCGAAACACATTTTAAATGACCAACGTATTTTTCAAAGCAGAAACAAACATTCGTAAGGGATAAAATTATTACAATTTAACAATTATCAAAGAAACTATATCCAAAACAAAATTTCTATACACATGACGAGAAACTGATTCAAATAGCTTTAAAAATTTAATGGCCATTAATCCTTTTAATACATGAATGACAATTCCATGAAAGTTTATTCCCACGAAAAGTTGTGCTTTAACTGTACATGAATTTAGCTCTGTATTTTGTAGATAATCCAACTCTCAAGACTTATCCATAAACCAATTTATTTCTTTCTAGAATTAGGATTATTTTTGCTACATGGGTAAACCCTGGTTATAACAGAAGTCTTGTAAATGTAGTAATTTAAGATCATCCCCCATGAGTTTCATAAGCAACTATTTTAGACGATATTCTGTTTACAAATAACCTTTGTAAGAGTACGTCCTAAATGTAATTTTGTTCCCAATTATAAATTGATATATTTCATTTCAATATATTGCTAGATAACTGCAATTGTTCAAAATGCCAAACGGAATGTCCGTTGAGTACAACGGTACACACAAGTGATGTCACAAAGGACGATTGGGCTGAAACTACTACTAACATGAGTCAAGGTATGTATGCACCTGCCTGCAGATATAGGTGTACTAATTGATAATTGACTAATCGATGCCAAATGAAAAGAAAAAAGCTTTGTTGTTTATTTTGTGATTGAATAATGCTTCAATCACTCATAAGCATACTAGATAAACCGTAAAAAATATCACATACTTGCTTTAACACCTACATGTATATATTACCATCTTTATTAAAATTGAGCCAAAATAAGAAGAAATGCATTGCAACTGGCCACAACTCATTAGGTTCATCTGCGTACAACCTTTTCTTGGAAATAAATATTTCATCTATTTACCTATATTTTAGAAATAAATAAAAATATTCTGAATCTCTACAGATAGATTTAAAAAATAAATTCTCCTACATCCAACTTCCTTGAAAATACCTTTTCTTCAACAACAGACAAACAAAAGATCAATAAATTTAAATCATTAAATTTTATGTACCTTTGTTATTATAAAAGTACGAAAGACGAATAGGGCCACATAAAAAATATATTTTTATCTCGTAATTACGAGAAAAGATCTCGTTATACTGAGAAAAGATCTCGTTATTACGAGTTAATTATCTCGTTATTACGAGAACAGATCTCGTAATTACGAGAAAAGATCTCGTTATTACGAGAAAAGATCTCGTAATAACTAGAAAAGATCTCGTTATTACGAGTTAATTATCTCGAAATTACGAGTTAATTATCTCTTTATAACGAGAAAAGATCTCGTAATTACGAGTTAAAGATCTCGTTATTACGAGAAAAGATCTCGTAATAACTAGAAAAGATCTCGTTATTACGAGTTAATTATCTCGAAATTACGAGTTAATTATCTCGTTATAACGAGAAAAGATCTCGTAATTACGAGAAAAGATCTCGTTATTACGAGTTAATTTTCTTAACTATTCTGGTATTCTTTCCATTCTCAAAAAAAAAAGTCAGATATTTAAAACAACAAAACAAAGTAATCATATACACAAGCTTATAGTTTTTATTTATGGTTAAAACACAAGATATTTCTTAAAAAAGCTAATTTTTTTTATTATATCTAGACAAAAGGTGTTATTTCAAATAATGTAAATATTCTTTATTGATTTTATTAGTTAACATATGTTTCTGTTTTGTTTCTGTTTGTTTACTTGTTTGATGTTGTTGTTGTTTGGGGGGGGGTGTACAATGTATGTATTATCGATTTTCAACTCAGTATTTTGTTTACTCGATATATGAGAATAAAACTGAAAAAAATGCAATGAAACGCCATAGATTTTTTTAATGTGGGTAGCTATATCCGGTGGATATTACTCGTGTAATTTGATATTACACTGTGTGTTTTTATGCGGCGTGTCATATAAAGACAATACATGTACGAGATCTTTTCTCGTTATAACGAGATAATTAACTCGTAATTACGAGATCTTTTCTCGTTATAATGAGAAAATTAACTCGTAATAACGAGATCTTTTCTCGTAATAACGAGATCTTTTTTCGTTATTACGAGATCTTTTCTCGTAATAACGAGATGATTAACTCGTAATAACGAGATCTTTTCTCGTAATGACGAGATAATTATCTCGTAGTAACGAGATCTCATCTCGTTATTACGAGATAATTAACTCGTAATAACCAGATCTTTTCTTGTAATTACGAGATCTTTTCTCGTAATAACGAGATAATTATCTCATAATTACGAGAAAAGATCTCGTAATTACGAGATAAACATATTTTTTTATGTGGCCCTATTCGTCTTTCGTATAAAAGACCAAAGCCAAGTCAATTGTTTTAGGATTTAAATGAAATTAAAGAAAGCGAGAAAATGCCATTGATTAAATTAAATAACAGAAAGCAAAATACAAATAGTTAGTGGGTCAAAACTAGAAAACTAGAAGACTAGAAAAAAAAACTTGTAAAGAACACAAAAATCTTTGATATCATATTATGGAAGCCGACCTTCTAAAGTTTAAACATTTCATTAAACAGACACTGATTTGTCTGCCATCAAAAAGAGTGAGGTGAAACAAAATGAACGTAAAATATAAAACACAAAAAACATGTTTAACAGTATCAAAAGTAATGGTGGAAGAAAAAAGATGGATGGGGTAAACAAAAAGTACCATTATTCAATCATGGCATATCAAATATAAATCATAACAAATTAAACAGATACATCATTCTTTAACTCTGTCACATTAAGGATATTATTATTTGTAGATAATGATAACGGATTATATCAACTGTTTATGTTTACCTTGATTCCCGTCCTCTCTATCACTTTCTTTGTCAAAAACTTTATTAAATTAAAATTTACTTCGTATAGTTTGTAAAGTTTAAAAAAAATATGAAATTGATGACTCACTTGATAAAACAATTATGCTGTCGTTTTATTTAATGATTAAATAGCAACTCTCGAAAGATGTTATTTATATTGCTTATCTGCTTCCGTAAATATTCTTTTTAAACTAAGAAAAAAAAATTAAGATCTTAGAATCACAAAATGCATGTTTTTCAGTCGGATTTCACAAATAAATTCACATTTAGGGTAAGCATGGTCACCAAACTGAACTTAAAACTGTTTACATGTGTCTCTGCTTAGATGATGAAAGGTATGGCGTTAAAGTTCAGCTGTTTATTTTAAAGGGTTCTAATATACGTATACGTATTTATGTCCTCGTACAATTTCCAGTGTTAATTTTCATTTTCTTTTTATTAAAAATGCTGTTGCAAATAACCATTTAATTGCACGCAGAGGGAATTTTGAAGAAACGAATGCTTTTCATCCTGCAAAATCGCAAGACCCGAAGAGTCGTGGGATAATTTCATCCCCCCCCCTCCAAAAAAAAAGAGAAAGGAAAAAAATGTATTAAAAGAAAGAATAGAATAATTTACAAATTTAGAAGACAAGGATTGTGTAATCCATTAGTGTCTTCAGCCAAAAGGTTTTCATATGATGGGTAGAAAGACTTTTATCGTAAGTTAAAATTTGAACACATGAAAAAAATTTAGTGATTGATAATATGAATTAATTTTTCCATAGGAGTTTTCCTGCTTTTATATCGTATGTTATTTTATTATTTACAAAGAGAAGTTTGTATGCAAATAAAGTATATGTGGGCTTTTATATATTTCAAATAATCATTGAACGCACCATTTATTAATAATTTTTTAAAATACATCTTGTAGATCAGAAAACTGAGCTGAATGTCTCAAAACAAACAACAAGTGTACCTAAGGTGTATTTATTTCCCCTTATTTCACTGAGGAATGTTTTATAAACATATCTTGAAATTTTAAACGAAATGCCCTAATATATAAATCACTTAAATCACGTGTATAAATATAGAATTAATAATAACAAATAATTATATACTTTAGATTGCTCCTCTGGAAGAATTGTTGGATCTGTAATAGGGGGAGCTGTGTTCGGATCACTAGTTACAGTCCTTGTCTTCATGCTGCACCGGAGGATACAAAAGAAGCAAATAAGGTTTACAATTGAATAATATATATACAAATCGATTCAATAAATACTTTTATGCATATGTTCAAGTATTATCAGAATTAAATGTCTAATAATAATATAAGACAAATATAAAATTATACATATAGCACCTGAAAAAGTAAGGTACTTGATAAAAGCTTCAAATAATAACACGACTTTTTTGGAATATTAAGATCATATGATGACATTATTTTTGTTATTCACTCGCAACGAAGTTAAAGGGGATATAGCAACGCAATCGCTTGTGTATGTTTGTGCATGAAAATTTGAATTAATCCTGTGCGAAAAGGAAGTGACGAAAGAAGAAGGTACAGTTTCTATAAAAATTAAGCCCGATAATTTTCTTAAATATGAAAGGGATATAAAAAATCAAAATTTATTCTTACTTAATCATAGGATTTCCCTGCAGTAAGAATATTCAAATCATTTTTCTCATGTGACCTCGTAAGTGCTAATTGTGACGTCATTAACTTGTGCATTTTCCTGTATTTTCTTAAAAAGTTGCAGAAGACATCGATTTTCAGTGGAATTTTCTTCAAGAAAACATACTCTGCCACCGTCGCCCGGAAAGCTTTTGAGATATGTGATTTGTCATAGTTGTTTACATAATATATCCAAAAATCAAAGTGGGCGACGGTGGGAGACACTATTTTCTAAAGGAAAATTAGCACAGAAATGAGTCATTTTGAGGCTTTTCTACATTCAACTTAGAAATTCATCAAATTAATGACGTCATACTTCCAAAACGGTCCTCCTTCATGCCATATTCTTTCATGATTTATCATTATCATCTACTTAACTATTGTTCGAGCCAATTTCATAAACTTTTAAGATCATAAATTTTTAGGGCACAATAAAGCTCTAACTGTACCTTCTTCTTTGCATTATGATTATAGCTGTCAAATTTCATAGATTTACTCTTTCTTTTAAAATGTTTTGCTTTGGAGCGCCCAAATTTTACTTGAAATTAAAAATGAATTGAATTACTTGTTCTTTTAGAAACCGTGCTGTGGAAACCTTACAAAATCCGGCATACAATGCAGAGACAATGAGTATGAACGAAAGAGCTGAAGAGGAAAACACCGGAAAAAGCACGTACAGTGAAATAAGCGACGTAAGAGTATAAATTTAAATTATATACAGTACCCATATCATTACTCAGCGTGTTTTTCTTTTAAACACAACAGGAAACAAAACTTTACATTAAAAAAGTAAATCGAAGATATAAAACCAAATATATGGAAATTGATTTCGGAAAAGAAAATAAATAACAACATATAAAGAAAATAATTCTCTATATAACTCTTTTTTTCTCCGGCTTTATATATATATATTGTAACGAAACCGAGGGTATCGTATTATAATTAACTCGTGGGCCGCTATTAGTTTTCTGGTCACTGGTCGAGATTTGATGGTAACGTTGGTCACAGTTTATATAATGGTTAATAACCAATTTTCGGTCACTTGATAGGTTAACGTAATGACCAATTTTTGGTCACTTATTTGACGGACGTAATGACCGAATTTTGGTCGCCTCTTTGTTTGACGTAATGACCAACTTTTGGTCACTTATTTAGTTGACGCAATGACCAACTTTTGGTCATTTCTTTGGTTGACGTAATGACCAACTTTTGGTCACTTCTTTGGTTGACATAATGACCAACTTTTGGTCACTTTAAATAATGTTTGTTAGGAATAACACTTGTTAAAAGTTTATAACATTTATTAGGACGATCAAATGGTTCACTTATAAACACACAGAATGGTACACTGTAACTTGGTTGGTACAACGTTATTTGGTTAACAAAAAGGTGACCAACCGATGGTCAATTCAGGACGTTCCTAAAAACTTGGTTCCCTTTAATGGTTTCGTATACATAGACTTGGTACCGTCTTATAACCGAAGTATACGGAGTCGTTCCCCAAAGTGACTTAGGTCACTTTCCCTTACCAGGGAAGGCTGTGTGCTCCGAGTCGCTCCCCACAGCCGACTGAAGTCTAAACCCAAAACAGCTGGTTTATATAGACAAAAGTTGTTATGATGACGTAAGAGACAATCAGATACCTATTACGTCACAATCAATGCAATCAATAAGTTAGCGGGTTTTAACCATCAAAATTACCTACTAAATTAATAATGTTGTACCCATTTAAAACATACAAAATACACCACTTTGTCATTAAATCATACATGTTAAATTAATAAAGTCATTAAATCAATTATAGTTCATTTCTTTCGTTAACTGTTCATTGACAATTATTTACGGAGTTTATAAACATCGGGTTCAAGTTCCATATATTCCAAACTTGTAAACAAGAGTTAACCCGAATTTCACAGGTACACTTTGTGAAACGTTATAATATATATATATATATATATATATATATATATATATATATATATATATATATATATATATATATATATATATATATATAATATAATATATAATATAATATATAATAGACTAAGTATATTCGGGCATAGACATACTATTATTTAGTAAATTATTATATATAAAAAACGATAAATACTAAAATCATCTAGTTTATCTTAATAAAGAAACAGCAAAATTTATTTTTATATCTATATATCCATTTCAATTTCAATAGACGAGAAAAATTAAGAAAGCAAAGAACCATGCGTAAGAGATTTTGCAGATCAGATGTCACAAAAGTTTGTTCTGAATTGTCACTTTAAGTGAAACTATGTTTGAACTTTTAGAGTCACGTGACATGTTTCGTAGCGTTCTGTTTAAAGAAGCTAAAAGATTTTTTGCATCATATTTCTTACAATGCACGTAAATATTTTATAACAAAAGCGGTCCATTTGTCAGAGATGACCATATCACGGCAATTGTATAGGTAGATAAGGATATCATTTCCAAACATGAGCATGGAGGCATTACAACCCGAGTCCTCAGTCTTGTGAGCTTCTTTTATCAAATGTGAATAAAGTATGGGCTCCTTTTTGTTAAAATCTAAAGTAACTATATTTTAGGAATAAATATTTACATAAATTTTAAGATTTACAACTATTTCTCTAACTTTAATTTTGCGATCTTTCATAACAAATTGCTCAAATAGGGACATATCTCTTCCCTAGCTGCTTTTACTAGGCTACAGATAAAACATCTTTCTTACTTTACTAAAACAATCAATCCAACTAAATTCTTTTTTCTTTATAAACCTTGTACAAATTATTACATTCTACAGCAAAGGTATTTCCCAGATATTTGTTAGACTATATGTGTGCTTAATCATTCTGATTTGATTGGTTTTTTTCTAACTATAGAGATAGTTTGCGAACTTTTTGATCATCCGTCGTATTGTACATATAAACACTTATTCATTATATTTTGTACAAATACAATTTACAGCAAAAGTCCATGAAGGTATCTCATGTAGCGCCCATTCGGAGGAATGAAAATACCTCAAAAACCAATGACGGCGTTTGAATGAAACAGCATCAGATGACAGAAGTGAGTATTATGATCATGCCAAACCAGGAGCCTCAGTGTCAACACCAGCTGACGGATACTGCACTGTTACTATAGATAACGGGGGAAACGATGAACATATAGAGGATAATAAAAACAATGAATGATAACGACAAAATAAGTGAAAAGGCAAAGGCAGGGGAATATTTTGTGCTGGAAAAAATACAATGAGAAAGTTTCACTTTCTTTCTAATATCAAAGTTTGAACTTCAGCAATAAACAGTTATATCCATCATCTTAAATATAGGATATTTCTATACTTTATGTTTTATTCTTATTTAAAACATTTTATCAACGACTGTTGATTATCTTATCCTAAAAATGTGTTGTACAAAATCTTGCCCCATTTGAAAAAAATATGAAGGTGGTGAGTATATCATGTCATGAAAGACTAGCAAGTGAATGATAGAAAAGGAAAAGGTCATCACGTTGAACATGAAATTTCTGTAATGGTATTTTTAACGTCTTTTATTGGTAAAAAAGCCCAATATTAAGAACAAATGTGTCAGTCGTTTTGTTTTTTCCCCAAGTTAACTTTGATAACTCAAATAGACATTTGAATGGATGTAAGTATTGTCAATTGATAAAGCATCGTCGATATCTATATTTAAATTTAAATGTCGAATTGGAGGCCAAAGCAGTTGTTTTCCTCTCCTTATTTTCTGTGAATGGTTCAATTTGGGTCCCACAGAAGATCAAGCAGATATCTGGAAGAACTAATCTCCAAAAGCTTCATAGATATTGTAAATTTAAACACAAACATCTTTTTTACATCGATTTCAGAGTGTGTAATACAATCAGAATATTTTTAACATAGTGAGTTTGCAAATGACAAAAAAATGACAATATCAGTATGTATACTAGTTCCATTTTTTTCCTAAAAAAGAAGCCCTCTTTGAAATTGGCCTTGATTTTAATTTATCGTTGGGAATGTATGTATTTACTTGCAGTACAGTCATAATCGGGATGGCGATTGCTTTAAGTACATTATTATATCGGATAATTGTTAATAATTACGTTTTGAGGACGATTAGAATTTATATTGAGACTTGTCATGTGATGTGGCAATTACGTAATTTTAGCACATATACTTGCAGTGTTGAGGTTCCCTATAAATTTCACTAGTGGAAGGGCATTACCAAAGTGAAATTCCAAGTTTACTTTATTAATATTTCCAACACGCATTGTAGTTTCTGAAAAGTGCTGCGATCCTACCTAAATTCTGCGATTATTGTTAAAATTATATTTGAATGACCGACAGCTGTATTTTTTGCTGGTCAATGGCATGAAATATTGGTATACTTAAATTATTTTCAGATACCTTAATACTTCTAGAGTTGAATTGCAAAAGCTGACTATAATCTACTGAGTGTATGCCCTTGCACTAGATCGATGTAATAAGACCCCAGCAAGAATAACAACAACAATAAGATCCTCCGATGAACGTGCATACAAATATACGGCAGTATCAATAAGATACGTAAT